AAACAAAGTAAAGACTCAAAAGAAGTAAAGATGCAGATGTTCATTTCAAAGATAAACCTCCACCAGACAATAGGAATTAAAAAACACTTACACAAATGTGTCTAAATAATTGCTATCCATAATTAAATGTAGAAATCATAATAGAAAAAAGAAGGTTTAGCAAATAACTCTTTTGTCTCTAGTCACAAATAGCAGATATGTAGACAAAAGTGTAAAATACAGATGAGCAATACTCCCCTTCTGGATCCAGTGATGTGTCTCCATCAGCACATAAATCACGTAATGAATTTGTGATAAACAGGTTTTGTGAATTTTTCCTTCCACTTGTCCAGTTCATTCTGAAGCCACCTAAGATATGACACGAGAAAGAGTCCAGTCCAGTCATTGCGAGTATAATTCTTTTCTTCACAAACTTCAGAGAAAAACAGACAATATTCAGAAATGCCAATAAATGACCGATCAAAACAGGGACAACTCAAACCAGAATTTCCTGATGAAGTCATTGCCTCAATTTATATTTAGCATATTAGCAAAATTATAAAAAAGAATAAGCACATAGTTACATTTAATGGAGCATTTAATAGTACACTTCCTGGCTGGTCTTCTGCATTAATTAAACTTGAGTGACTTCATTATTTTTCTGATAAAACTACGTTAAGCCAGGAACATATCACAGCAAAATGCAATGCTCTTTCCACTATGGAAAACTCAGCCAGGAGTGTTTTACATTTTCTTTTCAGACTTATACTTTCCACTTAGCAAATTTTAAGCATTACATACATTCTGATTATTGAGATTATCTTTCTCTTTGCAAAGATAAACTTTTGTCAAATGGCAATGACTGAAATTGAAGGCCAAATAAGAAAATAATAAAGTAAGCTTGTTCCTGCAAGACCAATGTTTTGTTTCACACCTTTGGCAACAAATGTTGACTTCTCATAGATAACACATTATTTCTAAATTCTGCTTCATAAGAAAATAAAATACATGCAGAAAAAATCCGCAAAATCTTGTATTTAAAAAAATAAAGTGGTTTTATAGCGAAGTATACCAGATACAGTAAAAAGAAAACCTATAATTTTAAGTATTTGAATTATATTTGTAATATATTGATAAAAGTGAATTTTAGCAACAACGGAATGTTTTTATGTACCATATTGCAATGTAGAAATACTTGCGGAAGTGAGTCTTTTGCAAAACTGCAATCTAAGGGGCACTAGATAACAGAAAATGAACCACTCAGTAGACTGTCAGTGTGGCATGGCTAATTAATATTAATATAATAATATTTAATTTAGAGACAATTAATAGCAGAGAAGCAATTATATTAGAGAGCCCATATTAGAATGTAATTGAGTTCTATTCACTGGCTAAGTTTATGGTAATATTTATAAAGTATTTAGCATTTTTATGCACTGCATAATACTATGAACTCTCTGCTATATATAATATTTATCTAGTTCTTCCTTATTCTGATTAAATAGCATCTATTAAATACCAGTAAAAAATAAACTTCTTTCTGTCTTGACGTAAAGCTTTAAATCTATTGTATTTTACTCAAGCTTTTAAGCTGTTCCTGTGTAATAAACTACAAATGAAATAAATACATCAATAATAATACATAAAAATGACAATCTTTCCAGTGTCAGGAATTTTGAATAGTCTGTATTCTTTGAAAAATCAGCCAAAGAATTAACCTACTTCACAGGTTTTCTGATTAACAGCTCAATGAAGTTTCTTTTTCACAGGATTCCCCAAAGATATTTACAAATGAATGCCCAGATGTTGGAATCACTGTACATCTCAGAAAAGCACTTTGTATAAAAACTGTCACTATCATTAATGAGCGAGATAAGGCAGCTTGTTAGAAATCATGACACATTCTTGGGATAAAATACTTTCATAGAATCACAGAATGATTTGTTTTGGAAGGGACCTTAAAGATCATCTAGTTCCAACTCCCCTTCCATGGCAGGGATTCCTCCTGCTAGACCAGAATGCCCAGAGCCCCATCCAACCTGGCCTGCATGCACAGCTGCTCTGGGTAACCTAGTCTTAATGCCTCACTACCCCCATATATATAGCTAAACACACATATACATATGTATAGAATATATGTACACAGAAAATAGACATATTTTTCCCCCTCTCTCACTTGAACAAGAAAAAGAGAATCAGATAATGGGACTTTCTATATTAATATAAGTAAGATAGCCTAATATTAGAAGAAAGAAAATATACAAAAGAGGACTGAGGGTAACATGCTCTAAAAAAGTCAAGGTAATCATGAATGAAACCCTTTTCAAAATGCATTGGAAAAATGTCTAGCAGAGCACAGTCTAGAGGGTCAAAGTATAAGGAAAGTATTCAGAAGATGTAAGATATACCAGAATATTAAGTGAAATGTGTTTTCCTTGTTTGTTCTGCAGTAATTTTGAGGTAATTTCAATAAATTTTTATTTCCAGTTAAGATGTTGAACAGATCTTCATCAGATTGAAATGTAAGTAGAAAAGTCTTTAAAGCAAATTTATAAAATGACCAGCAGAAAATCACAAGGCCTAGAAGATATTCAGGGAAGAGTTTTTGACACGCTCAGAAAATGAAATAGTTCTTATGGTATGTAAAATTCATACTAAAAATGCTTTGGAACAGAAGAACTGCAAAGTGGATAATGAGGCACAGTCCATCACCAAATGTGTTGAAATATAATGCACATATGTTAAAACATTCAACCAGATTAAATTTAAAAACCAGACACAAAGGATTCTCTGTTGATGAAGCTCTTCAGCCCAAATTACCAGAGAGTGTAAAAGTTCTGCTCATGTTCACAGGGTTTTTTGAAATACATTGTGTGTAGACTGGGGCAGAGGCTGGACTGTAGACTAGATAGGTCTTGATTGGACCCTCTACATGTGGGCTTGGTTTTACACTTGTTTCTTTTTTGCTATTTTAGGAATATTTTCTACCTTAAAAATATTACTCACAGATCATTACTGCAGATGAAGTATGCCTGCTTCTATTCTATTGTAGTGTCCCAAGTAAGAGTAACCTTCTGTCCACGTGACAAACTGCAATGAAGTAATCCCTGAAATGAGCTATCTTGACAATAGAAAAAATGAGAAAGAAAAATAAGTCCTGCAGTGATCTTACAGAGTCTGTATCAAGGATAGCACAGCATACTTGTTGAACCTACTCTCCTATAAACAATTCCTACTGTTAAAGATCTCTAATAATTTGTAGCTAAACTCCTAATAAAATTTTGAACTTCTAACAGATGTTCAAAGACATTTGCAAGATTTATTTTTAAAAGCCATATAATTACAATGGAGACAATTTAATTAGAGACTCAAAGATGTTCTGTAATTGAACCCTGCAGCACAATTTTCCTTCCAAAAGAAAAGAAGCTTACTTTGCTTGACAGAGATGAACCAGCTTAAAAAGGCAAAACCACCCTCAGAAGCAAAGCCTTAGAGGTAGCTGTTTGTTGCCTAGAACAAATAATTGTATTTGAAACCAAATTTATTTTCACCTTTGTGCAGGCTTGGAACAGCTTACCAATTTCAGCTTTCTCTGAACGTTCAGTACTGATTCAATATACAGTCAATAATCCTCATGTAACACATAAGGTGAAGACTGGAGCGTTAATAACATATCTCTGGGCATTCATTTTTAAGTATCTTTGCAGCCTCAAGATGAAAATTAAAGTTTGAGTCCAAATCCAGGAAACAACGGAAGAGGACAAAAAGCCTAAGATCCTTTGGCATCCATCCCTAAAGTTCATATTTCAGAAATAAAATACATATCAGAAACAAGATGCTCAATATATTTTTTTTTTTCCCTACCTCCTAAGCATGAATTCTATCTCTCTTTTACCTGAGGCCAAGGAAATGATGAAAGAAGGAGGAAAAATTAAACATACACTGTGACAAATTGATATAAATAAATGTATATATATAAGTATATTAAAATCCCTGGACATGAAGCAATACAAAAGAGTAAAGTCTGCTTCTGTGCTTTTGCACTATTCAAAAAACAACCTATTTCCCATACAAACTTTAATTTCTTTCTTTTTTTTTTCTTTTTTTTTTTTTTTTTTAATGATGAGAATTATCTAGGAAACCTGAGCAGCATCTCTTGAGCTAAGGAGCTAAGTTTTTAAGTTGAATAAAATTATTATTAACTTCTGGTCTTCAAGCAGTTTTACAAAACTGGTCATGGTCTTGCAACAAGCAAGCTAAAAAATGGCAAACGGAAAAACAAAATACATATTTGCCTAATTTCAGCTACCTTATAATGTCCAGTTATTATATGAAATATAACCCCTCTTAAATAACACATGGATTTAGTTCATACTGCAGAAAAAGTGAAAACTACCATAACTTAACAAAGAAGTAAAAACAGACATACAGCACAAAAGTTTTATAAGGTTTAGATCGCAATGTTTTCTTATAAATGAAACCCATAGAAAAATACAGAGAAAATTGAATTCACAGCACTTGTAGGTGTGCTGATGGATGACAAAGATTTTAATTTTCTCAAATATATTTCTTATCTTCAAAAAAGGAAATATTTTTTAAATGTAGGGTGACACCACCATCACTTGCTTCCAAATTAAACATTAAAATTCCCAAATTAAAAAAATCAGTAAAATAATCTGAAGTCTGAGTTCTATTTTGATAAACAAAGAAATTTTGAGATAAGAGAGGCTACATAGTCAGAGCTAGAATTGGACAGGAGAACAGAGGACAGGAAAGATGAATGAAAAGAATAGAGAAAGGACTAGGTTCTTGAGTGCTCATGAAGCCAATCTGATGGCAAGGTTTTGCATCTGATCTTGATTGGTAGGATTACATGTAAAGGGGAAAGTGTTGTATAAAAAAATTTTAAAAATCCCTTAACCCTCACAAGTGTAAATCGAAAGTCTTCTAACTCCCTTCAGAGGAAAAAAATGGTCATCAAAGTGAATTTCTGAAGGAAACAAGAGAAAAAGGAGAGAGGATTTTTAACAGTTTTTTATTAGTGGAGCTGTTAAGCAATATAGATAAAATATTTATTTATATTCCAGGGAGACGACAACACTTTAGAGATATTGTAACTGTATAATGCAGCAAACTTCTTCATCCACTTAGATGACTGGTTCTATAACTTTGAATTCTATACCTGCAGAGTTTAGAAAATAAGTGGAAGTTTTTAGTATGAGACTGTTGTCAATTAGAGAGAGACATGAATTTGATCTCTAATTGCTGGTGAGTCTTTGGACACAAGCGGTATATAATGCCTTCTTAGTAGAATTTGACCTTCAACATCTATGCTTATTCATACTTGTCAGAAAATTAAATTAACCACTGAAAATGGCTTCTCTGATCGTTGTTATTTCAGCAAAGCAGGTCAGCAGACTGTCAGTTCTCCCATGTAACTTTCTTCTTGTTACAATTCTAATCCATCAAGGTAACTTCAAGGGTAGTTTCAAAATATTTTCCCCGAGGTAGCATTAGGTTGACACTTAAAACAAAAGCTCAGCATTCTCATGTCCTTTCCATCCCTTGCCATGAACATTTGGCACAATAAAGATAGAACCATTTCCTTACTCTCAAAACTTGGAGGAAGTGGAATTGATTAGGAAAAACAAAACTTGATGCTATATTTCTGAAGCTGTTTTGATTTTAGTATATAACAAGTACAGCAGCAGCAATATGTTTCCTGGCTTCTGGCACTATGTATTCAGTTTGTGTGGCCCAGTTTTGGTAGCAGGAGTGGTACAGGGGCGGTCTCTGTGAGAAGCTGCCAGAAGCTTCTCCCATGTCTGTCAGAGCCAGGATGGACCCACTGCTCACCAAGGTGAAGCCCATGGTGATGGTAGTGACGGTAGCAGCACCCCTGTGATAAAATACAAGGGAGAAAAGTTGTCGCACAGAAGTAATTACACCCAGAGAACAGTGGGATGAGAATATGTGAGAGGAACAGATGTGAGGAGACACCAAGGTCACTGGAGAAGGAAGGACAGGAGGTGTTTTAGGCACTGGAGCAGAGATTCTCCTGCAGCCCATGGTGCAGACCATGGCGAGGCAGCTGTGCCCCTGCAGCCCATGGAGGACTGCAGGGATGCAAAGATCCACCTGCAGCCTGTGGAGAGAGGATATCCACACCAGAGCAGATGGATGCTTGAAAGGAAGTTGTGATGGGTGGGAAGCCCATGCTGGAGCAGGGTCCTGGCAGGGACCTGCAGAGCTAAGGAGAGAGAAGCCCACCCTTGAGCAGGTTTCCTAGCAGGATTCGTGACCCTCTGAGGCATCAAAACTGGAGAAGACTGTTCTTGAAGGACTGTACCCTATGGAAAAGTGACCCACTTTTGAGCTGTTTGTGAAAAGCTGTTGTCAGTAGGACGGACTCACACAGGAGAAGTTTGTAGAGGACTGTCTCCTGTGGGAGAGATCCCATGCTGGAAGAGGGGAACAACAGCTCCTCTCCCAGAGAGGCAGCAGAAGCAATCTGTAATTCCCTGTCTCTCTGCACCACTGAAAGGGAGGAGTAGAACCTGGGAAGAAGGGTACACTGTGGGAAGGGTGTTTTTAGGATTCAGCTTACTTCTTATTATCCTGTTCTAATCTTGGTTGGTAACAAATTCAATTAATAGCCTCAAATCAAGTGTGTTTTGCTCATGGTAGTAATTAGTGAGTGATGTCTCCCTGTTCCTCTCTCAACTCATGAGCCTTTCATTGTGTTTTTTTCTCCCTTGTCCATTTGCAGAGGAGAGTGATAGAGCATTGGTGGGTGTCTGGCATGCAGCCCATACTAATGTCATCAATAAGTGACTAAAATTTGAAAGAACTCAAAATATTAGACATAAAACACTTTTACCCTTTTTGTGTCATCTCAAAAGCTGCAAATTCTTTTTCTTAACTGGCAGAAAGTCCTAAAAAGCCCAGATGGTGTTTGCATCACCACACAGTGGGCAAAAGAACTGTTGAAAAATAGATGGGTAGTGCACTCTGGAGTGTAAGGCTCCCCAACCAATATCAGTGCATCTTGTGTTGCTGCTGTAAGTTGAAGCTTTTTTAAAGTTAAGATTCATTCCTTGTAGGGTGTGCTTTAAGTTGACTTTACTTTTACTCCCTCTGGAACCTTAATGAGGCAGAGTGCAGCAGTGTCTCTGCTTTCTAATTCATGCTGTTCTATTCAACACAGCATAAAGTAGTCACCTCCACACAGGACACCCTCTGGTTTGTGCTCTCTGTGACTAAAAGTACACATTAGGCCCTCCCCTGCACATCAGGGGGACCCTGACACACCCCTCCTCTGTCAGGGTCACACACAGCACTGGTGCGCATCTTGTTCCTCACTTTCCCTTTTAAGACATGGCCAGAGCTGGATCCACAGCTTAGCAAAGCCTAAATCCATACAGCTTAGAAGACTCCTGAATGCTACAAAAAAAAAAAAAAAAGAAAAAGAAAAAAAAAAACTGATAAAAATTCTGTGTTTCCCAACAACTACTAGACTCTTCATATCAAGAATTTTTAGTCACTGGTCAAGATAAGAATTTTTTGCCTTTCTGAGCATAAGACTAATTAATTAACCTACCTAAAAATTAAGGACCATAAAACCTCATCACTTCCAGAACATAGCATCTCCCTTTCCTCTTTCTTTTTCCCAGTTTAATTTACTGAAATATCAAAAAAGAAAACCCTTACTTCTAGAAGTGGACACAATACTTGCATTTATGTTTTTATAGAAGAGCATAAAGCCCTACAAGCATATAGGTAATTTTACAGAGCTTGAAGCATTTCTGAAAGGGGAATGGAAAACAGGAGATGTTGAGCACAATATGTGATCCAAAAAAGGTGATGGCTTCTCTCCATCTAGTAACAGAGACACCTCAATATTCAACTTCAGCTGAGACAGTGAGTTGGAAATGAAACCCCATACAGAAAATGGATTTTTCCTTGCTCTTTGACAGAAGAAGGAATATGCAGCTGTTAACAGTGAATTAAAAGATAAAAATAATAAATAGGGCTGAGCTCACTAAAGGAAATATCATGCCAATCACTCTGCATTCAAAAATCCGCTGAATTATGCAGGACAAAATCCTCGCATACAAGAAGAATATACTTACATGGAACCACCTGGTCATCATACACTGCTTTGTTTCTTTTGTGACAAAACTTCATGCAGAGAGGATGCTGAAAAGAAAAAATAAATTAAAAAAAAAAAAAGGAAACAAAAATAAAGCATTGCTGCCATAAAAGAAAAATAATAATTAGATGGGAGGAATATTTTTTATTTTTTCTCTCAATAGAAAATTAAAGACCCTAGAGGAAAACAATTAAAATATTCAAATCATAATATTTTATTTTTTTGAAAAAAGGGGAAAACAAAAATTAGATTAAAAAAAACCCCATTAACTTGGATTATGGAAAACTACAATAAAAACTTGCAAAGTCATGGTCCATAGGGAAAAAATCACCTAAGTTAATTAAGGATATTTTATAACTTTGCATTTGAAAGAAGGATTACAACATATATTATACTGACATTCTTACAATGGATAGCCTTCTATCGATAATAGCTCCTACATTAATATTTATGATATGCATATTGGCTATTGAATTAGCTGCATTTTGCTCTCTTGTAACGTATTTTAGAAATGGTACATATCTGAAATTACCCTGTAATTCCATCAATGATATTAAGACAGCTTTGGGGTTTGCCTCAAAACTTGGTGGTTTGAGGGCACTCTTTGATTTTAATAAAGAAACCTATGCAAACAGCAAGCTGTCAATTTAACTATAAGTAGGTCAGAACTAAACTAGGACACTTATTCTTTGGGCCAAATCACAAATCAGAGGGAAAAGGCTAAGCTAAAAGGGTTTTACTAAAAATGCCTATCAGTAGTTACACAACCAAGGAAATGAATCAGCCAGCGGCTTTTACAGAGCAAAGAAATGGCTGCCCACAAGTATTTGGAATCATTTATGGGAGCAGAGTTGTTGAAAATGTCCAACTCCTGCAAGGGAAAGTTATGCATGGGTGGAACTGGAGACATTTTATTTTCCTGTAGATTGCACTGTGCAAAGGAAGAGGAAAGGAACAAAACTTAAGAATTGCCGCATTATATGATACATTCATTTATTTTATTGTTTTTTTATTCTTTTCTGTCAATGATCATTGCATAAAATAAAGGACTGAATGCTGTAGGATACATACTTATAGGTATATATACATCTATACATAGCTAGATATACTTCCACATTTCTTGTTCAGTTGTACAATTCTTCCCCAAAACACCAAGGGTCACACTGTAGCATAACTTTAATCAATGGCCTGAAGACTTCAGCTCAGGGCAAGTGCCATCACTGAATAAATAAGCATGATTCTGAACATCATTTGATTTCTTTTCTTTTCAACAAATAGGCATTTTTATGATGCAAATCTCCATTCTTTGGGTCATCATCCACACTGCATTATTTAGCAACCATTCGGGTGTCAAAATCTCCCTCAGAATCAGGATCTTAAAATACACCTTATGTGCAAAGGAATCTGTCCCCAAAAGCATATTTAGTGTCAAAAAAAAAAAAAATGAAATGAAGAAATATCATACAAATAAAGCAAATCAGAAAAAAGAATAAAAATAAAAGCAAGATCAATCATTTGTTACCTGAATTTATCAAAACTTTTCATTGCAATCAAATAAACACATCAACAATATGTGCTAGGATAGAAGTCGTGTTTGGTTTACATATCAGATCTTTCATAAAGCTAAATGACTCAAAGGAAATCCTTGACCTCTTCCTTGTTCTGATCTTAGCATAGCCGGAAGACGAGCATTATGGTGGAGAACAATACATTGCCTTTGTTACAGTGTGCTTTTCACATCCACGATGACTCCCTGGCACATTCCCTTCTCATGTTCATTTAATTACATCCCCCTTCTAACACTTAGAAATCAGTAGTCAGCCTCAATTTAGTGTAAGAGTGGGCTATCTTAAGGAATCTTAAGGAATTGTTCCCTCCAGTACACCTGCAGTCAAAATGCTCTAAAGCTTTGCTTACATTAGTAAATTAGAATTGCAGAGAACATTCCCTGTCTCTGGGACTTGATGATCTATACTGTTAAGCTTCTAGATTTCCCCATATGCCGTTTTTATACAGATGAACCAGCACTTTTCAAGCAATCCCTGTAGGTATTTGGTATTTATCAGGACTAAGTTTAGAAGTAGTCACTGTGGTTGGATAGCAAAACAGGATAGCATCATAGACCAGGAAGCAGGCTATTATGTCAGCTGGCTTTAGGGTTACTAGAAACTATTTATGTCTACATTAATAAACAGAGCTGCAGAAGAATACATGAATAGGGTAAACCAGACTTGACTGGAATATTTCAGGTTTAAGGGACCTAAAACAACTATCTGGTTCAACTCTCTGACCTTTCAGGGATGAACAAATGTTTAAAAAAATTGTTAAGGGTATTATCCATACGCTTTAATAACCCTGACAGTTTTGGAGTGTTGACCAGCTCTCTGGGGACTCTGGTCCAGTAAGTTATCATTTTCTAAAGAAATTTTTCTTAAATTTAAAGTCAGGACAACCCTTAATGAAGTTTTGTACTTTTCCCACAGGTTCCCTCACTGGATACCAGGCAGAAGAGATCAGCACCTCCCTCTCAAGCTCTCCTCCTCAGGAAACTGTAGGGAACAATAAAGTTGTTACAAAGAGAAGTGGATCTATAAAGAAAAACTGTTGGAAAGGATTGAACGTTCACTAAACCTACATACAAATAATAATCATTAGAAAAAGAGGAAAAAGGAAAAAAAAATCCGATTGCCTATATAGGGGTAATACACTTTGAATTCTGACCTATGTACTTCTGGATATGTTGTTAA